AGCGCTAGAAGGGATCTTCGCGCAGGAACAAACGACCCAAGACATTGTAGTGGAGGAAAGAGAGGGGGGAGAGAGGGGCAAACACATTCAACAGAATAAACAGAAACAGGTTCGAAATGGACAATGAATAGGGGACGGTGTAAGTCTACCTATCCTATACACCCCCATCGTCCATCGTGGGAAGACATCACACAATATAGAGTTTCCCACACCCTTCTCAACCGCGAAATCGACGCACTTTTCCTTTCAATCTAGACTGTGGGCGCGGGGAGAGAAATAACCAGCATCGAAGGATTTGGCAGGCTGAGCGGCGCGGGAGGGGTGCCACCCGTTCTCTCTCATCACGCCTTTTCTTCTAGTGATAGACGCCCTTCCGCATATCGCCTGTCTTCTTCATGGTCCGACCTCTTAGATGGATCGCCCTACGAAACGGCTACCTTTTCCAAGTAATATCAGAAAGGGTTGGGGGAGGAGGATCTGCACTCCGATGCCGAGTGAGTGTGTGTCTGCGTATGCCCTTTCACAGCCGTGATAGCAGTGACTGGCTGGAGCAAGCTCCGAGCGAGTGTGATGAAAACGCCCCAGAGACGATCATGAAGCTAGCTATTGGTTTACACAAATCCTTCAAACGGAAGGACGATCATCCCGTTTCCCGCGCCGCCTCTAGTAGTGGAATTCTTACCCTAGCCTCATAGTATCAATTCTCAAGACTTCTAAGGTAGAAGCTAGAATGTGACAATATCCACCTCTTCCTGCCCTATTACCTACCTCCTCGGCCCCCCCCCCCCTCCCCACGACGAAACGGTTTCCTAAGCCGGAGTTTAGTCCGCCCATGTCTTGGTGACAAACAATAGGAGGGACGAAAAAATTGCGGGAAGACACTACCCGCTACCTATTTGAATTCCGCCCTTGAATTTCCAGTCCAATGATAATCCAAGAGATAAGATTCTCCCGAATAGGAAAGAGCAATGACAAGAAGCATGGCAAACAAGTAAACATGCGCAACCCTTTACTTTCTGCCAAGATGAAAAAGGAGAATGTAAGATATTTCCTAAACCGGCCATCAGAACCGCGTGGTATCTTCTCCTACCACTGCTGCTTGACCTTTACCTCACGTACTCGTGTCAGTGACTTCGCAAGGCACAAGGCCGACGGGAGGAATGAGGGCGTCGGCGACTAGGGAATGGAAAGGAAGAAGATCTTCCCTCCTCCCACCGGCATCGCCACTTTGCCGTACCTCCCTCCTCCCCGCTTACCCCGCCGAGCGCTCTCCCTCCCTCCCGGCGGCGGGACGATCCTCCCCCGGACGGGACGAACGGGATCCGATCGCACACGCGCGCACTTTCCTAAACCGATGGACGAGATGAACACTCTATCTGATATCCACCTAGTGATTTGATAACAATGCTAGATCGACGAATAGCCGACAGGTCAGCGGGGACTACGATGAATGAGGGTCTCCGCGTAAAAACATGTACACAATGAAGCAAAAAGTAAGCCTCACGTGATTGAGATACTAGACTCATCAACGGGAAGCTTGCTCCCCGTCGTAGCGATAGGGTACTGGTGTCGTAAAAAACACAAATCGGGACCACAAAGTCCTGCATACGTTGCCTCCCTTTCCATGATTCCGAAGCCATCGTCAAAAGCAGAGGAGCAACGAGAGAGAAGCTTCTCACTAAGAGAAAAGTACGCGTAAGGCGGGAAAGGTGCGAGACGGGAACAAGCACCACACGCCAACGAAAACAACGACGACGATGGCGGCGGCGGCGACGGCACACTGGTTGGCCGTACACATATTCACAAGGCCAGAGACGGGAGGCTAGCTCACCCAGAAACAGAACCCAATCACTACCTAATTCAGCAATGTCTCAAATGTCGTGACCGTCCCCCCATCGCCGCGCTGCCCCGGGGCTACATCTTTCCGTGTATCCGGGGTGAGCTCGATTTGTGTAATCGTGTGTGTGTGACCACGCCCAAAGAGTCGGCGTGTATGGGTAACCAAGAGTGCCCAAGAAAGGTGTGCCGCAGGCAGCTTCCCTTGGAGGAGAAAGCTACCACAACGATCAAGGCTCGAAACGACGCAAGTCCCTACGGACCGAGACCTTCGCGCGGGATAGAAAAGGCGAACGAACGCCTTTGAACGTATCTAGTCTAGCCGCTCTGGTAAAACCCTACCACAAAAACCAGGAACCGCGGTAAAACGGGTGAAAAGGATCCGTGTCCGTGTTTACCTGACTACACCTCTCCTCATCTGCCGCCATCACGTAAAGTCAACAACTCCATACCATTTCCGGCGATTGTTCCCCTCTCAAATGTGTAAAGGTAAAATGAATGGGTATAGACGGAGGGGAAAAAACAGGGGTCTATCTCTTACGGGTCTGGTGCCGAACAAAACGTAAACAAAACAAACAACGGGTAGATCGGTTCAGACGGTTGATCCCTTTGCACAGTCAGCTGCGTAAGCAAATAGAGCACCAGATAGGCTAGAAGAGGCTTTACATCCGTCATGGGAACTTTTGTAGGATACCAGTCGGCAGTAGAAGAAGTCTCGAAGGGGGACAAACCATGGTAGAGGGTCCGGAGTTAATACGTCAAATCCGCAAGGAGAAAGGACTGCGGTAGTCAGTGTCTCTTCCTCTACGTAAGCTCTGGTGACGACGCCGAAGAGGAGTAAACGAAAGAAGGAGACTGCAGTCAGTACGCGAGTGAGTGAGTGTGCCACATCACACACCGTCACACGTCATTCTACGACGAGGGGCAACGACGAAACATCGCCAACCTCAGACCAAACCAGACCTGGCCAAACACTACCCACCGACGACCAGAACGAAACGGAACCAACGTTCCCAGCTTTATCTCGATTCCCGGGCTTGCGGTTCAGCTGCTGCTTGCTGCTTAAACTCATACCCAATCCCCGGATTTCGTACCCGGAAATCTTATTCAAAGTGGTAAGACAGGCCCGGCGACTGTTTCTTACGTGCGAAACTATGATGATCCCAAGAAACAGGTTTAAACGGGGGATCATTGAGGATAGGCTTTGGAGGGAGGCAAAAACCCGGGAATCTGGAAAGTGTTCCAGCACAGCCCCGATGAGTGAGACCTCCGTAAACGATTTCGTGAAAAGTCTACGGAAGAGAGTTTTTCGAAGCTCCAGTGACCATACCTAGAGGGGACAAGATGAGAGACACTCTGCTACTCGCCCCCCCGATGAGCTTGTGGTTCCACGAAAAAGATCACCACGACGAAGTGAGAGGCTTCCCGACGGGCGTCTGCTCTGGTTTCTGTGCCTGGTGTTCTGCTTGCCCGGGCAGCCAAGACTTGCGTTCAAAAGGGCAATAGATGAACAGAGTCGACGTATCAATGCCTTTTGAGCACTAATCAGAAGTCGTGTAGCAGACTCTTGGGCGTACCTTTACGAAATCGCGTGGAGCGTTTGTGTGGATGGGGCCGTTTCTGGCCCTGGGGCCTTCGGTTTGTTTCCCGCACCGGACTTGAGGGGAAAAGTAAAGGCTGCGAGCGTCCGTGTGCCTGAGAAAAGTGACGGTGCGGCCAGTAGAAAGACGCTAGAAGGCGACGAAGAAGTTTTCCGCACGTCACCGGCGATGCCGCAAACGGGAGGCTTTCGACCGGGGACCTGGGAACGAGAGAAGAGTACGCGGTGCGCGCGGGGCGAGTCCAGGGTGCCGCGGGGCTTGAGGCTACTCGATTTTCCCACATGGAGGGCGTGCAAACTCGAACGAGAAGCAAAACGCAAACAGACAGATATCGGTCCCAAGGACGTGGTGCGTGTCTCGGGGACCTGAAGCTTGCGGCAGCAAGACTGGAGGCACTACACCTTTGGCGGACAGAGAGCTGATGGAAACCGGCGGGAAGTGTGTCTCTGGCATCCTGCGATGGGGAGGATCGAGGCACTTTGTGGAGGCTGTGCCCGTTAGGTTTCTGGTTGTCGATGAAGCAGGAGGCTGCCATGTGCGCTGGCTGAACATGTCTCGCCGGATGCGGGTTGAAGTTTGTTGGTGGATAAGAAATGGGATAGAAAGCTCTTTTGTTGACCAGCGGGGATGTCTAGCATAGTGGACCCCGACGAAGATGATGTGTGCTGCTTCTGCTGAAGGCCATCACCCCGACGGTGAACACCAGGGCTAGATCTTGTCTCGGTCCGCGCAAACAGCTGTGAACGCCTTCATCCAGTCTGTCGGGTCCAGGAAGTGAATGACGAAGAGGACTCTGCGAGGCGTCAGTGGGCAAAACTCGAGTTCCTAAAGCGGGTATGTAATAGAGTTGAACAAGGTGTGCTGCTTTCGGGGAATTGTTGTTGTTGTCGTCCTTGACTGTTACCTTACCTCAGCTAGCGGATAACCTTGCAGGAGGATTCTGGGGTCGGTAAGGTACCTGGTAGGGTGACTGCGGCTGCGGGGCCAATGGCCTTGCGAGTGGATGCATGAGGATGGCAGCGGCTACGCAGACTGCCGTGGCTATTTCCATCAGCCAAAGTCTGTGCGGCGTCTATTCGAGGCATGCCGTCCGGGCAGGCCAATGAGACGTCGACGGGCGCTTGTGGGGAAGGGGGAGGGCGAGAGCCTCCCGGGAGACATGGGAGGAACGAAGAGCCATGTTCGGATGACTGATGCGCGGGCGCTAGTCAAGGTCCTGCAGCTCAGCGATGCAACGAGAATTGAGGCGCAGAGGACGAGGACGCGCTTCCTGAAACGCGGCGGTTGGGGGCTGATTCGAGGCGACGGCAAGCGGTTCGTCGCCTGTCTTACTCTTTTGCTTGTCGTGTAGAGACCATCTTGGTTTGGCTGCCGTCATTGGTTCCCACGAGCGGGCGTCTTTTACAGCTGGCGTTTGAAAATTAAGGAATTGAGCTAAGAAGAGGATAAGCCGCCTGCAGTCTTTTGGCGCCCGGCACCAAAGCCATAATTGCATCTGTTCAAACCTCGAACAGCAATCCTTTCAGACCTATGCGTCCGACAGCAGGAAGCGTAGTCAGATGGTTATGGGGGTGTCAATGTAGAGGGAGAGCCGCTGTAGTGCCAGTGAACAGCATCATTCTCATAGGAAAGCAAGAAAAGACAAGCCTCAGTTTTGGTGGTACAATGTTGGCTTTCTTGTTCTTCTTCCTGGCGTTCCTTGCGTGGGCCGGCGTTGAGCTTGAATTGCCGTCCACATGAGGAAAGGTCACTCGGCGACGTGCCGACGAGGCGTCGCGCAAGACACCGCATGGTTGGCGTTTTCGAGTCGACGTAGGGTTTACGTATTGTCCATCGTGGTGCGGCAAAATTCTCCCGCTTCCACGCCGCGACCGAGACATCAAAGGATTGGGGCGACCGGACGGCGCCACGCCCCGGTAAGCGGACGCCGCTGGTAGATGACCACTGGATTACACAGGAGAAGCTCCTTACAGAGTCCTCGTAGAAAGCTTGCAGTGTTCGTTCTGTTGAGTCTCGGCGGAGTGACATTTCGTACGAAGGGTGGCTTGGCGGGCATCGTGCCTGCGTTTTCCCTTCCAATGCTATGGGCATGGGTTCTTGGATAAGAGTGACATTGGCTTGCCTGCAGCGCCATAGCGCTGTCAAAGTCCCGATTATTCTTCTTCCTTTTTCTGCGGCGGAGACAATTTGCAGTGTGACGCTGGCCGGGTCAACATGGCCTTCCAAGCCACCAAAGAAGGACACGAATGACTAACCACCAGGGCCATGTTCGGATCCGGGAAGTGGCGGCTCGGGTGGGACGGGAGGGGAGAATGAATAATCGCCGCGGGGAGGGGAGGCCCCAAGTGTGGCTGGTACCGTAGTACGTTCGCCGTCGCTGTCGCGTCCTCTGGCGCTGCGACTGCGACTGCGAGTAGCGAGGGGCGACCTGGCGAGGAAGAGAGCGCAGCAGGCCAGGCCTGTAGCCAACAGGAGCAAGGGGGCCCGACGCAGGCACGGCAGGGCAGCTAAATCCCTGAAGAGGGTGATCGGAAGAGTCGTCGATCAACTGACTAAAGAGCCGAGGCCGGCGATCAGCGATGGATGGGATGACAGATTGAGAGCAGCGCACGCACCACACCTTGGAATCCCCTGCTGAACGAATGGGAACGCGCGATCATCCCAGCGTGACAGGGGAAAGGGTCCCAAGGGGGGGCGTGAACGTTGATGCGTTGAAAGGCATGCCGCAACTGTGGCTCAAAATGGGAGAGAGACCGCCCTATGCGGGGTACAGATTCAGCGAATGCCTGGCTTCCATCACCCCCTGCCACGGTCCCAGGTCCATACCCCGTACCCGCGCATGGGCATGCCTCCCATCAGCTGGCACAAGCCGAACGGTACAGGGCACAAGACACCATAAGTGGTTCATCGCTTCAGTGGGCGCATGAATTCGCATCACGAACATCTCCGTGTGGCGGAGACTGCCGATGTTTGTTGTGTCAGGCGAACAGGTGTCTTTTATGATGCACTTTGTCTGAGCCGCACCGGATCACGACGCTCTGGCCGAAGACGTCGTCGCATTCGGCCCAACAGGCTGGAAAATAATCGATTTTCGTCGATAGGCAGGCCTCCCGAGCAGCTGGTCGTGGGCAAGTTCGGAACTTCAGCCACAATCTGTCTCGGGACATAGCCACCTTGTGTGGCCTGGGCCTTAAGGCGCGATTGGCGAACTCGTACTGCAGTGCTGGTGTTCCGTTCCAAGGCCACCCCGCCAATCACAGCTCTCGCGTGGCATTGTACCGGAGTGGTCTCCGACACACCAGGACCGAAGCGGCAAGGCCTTCCGGCGCATGTGGGCCCCGGGTTTGAGGAGGTGGGAGATGGAGCTCGGGAGTCGTTGGGAGGAGGGAGGAGGGAGAAGGGAGGCGGTGAGGAATTCGGTCGGGTGCCGAGACGGTCTAGACGGACGGACGGCCGGCGGACACTGCATTTCTGCAATGGCTGGACGAGCTTGAGTCTCTGCGTTGGCTCAGCATGCGACGTGGACCAACTCGACCGAATGAATTGGTGATGCCACAGCGAAGGAGCATATCCGGGCGGTGAAGATGGGTTGATTCTGCTCCCCCTCTTCCAACTTCCCTCTGCGTTGCTGTTGATGCTTGTAAGCAGGGTACCTGGTTGCATTACTGCATCAACCTTCCGGTGCCAGATACAGTCGAATCGATTCCTCTGCCATCGACCGACCCCCTGAAAATGGGGTTTAGTTGGACAGCCGATGAGGTACTCGCACGCTTGCGCAACCACTTCCCCAGGGTTAGACTCGAAAGCTGTGGTATGTCCGCCCCGCTGCGTTACAAGCAAAAGAGGGTGCAGATCTGTCGCGCCTTTCAGGGGAAACTCCAGGTGGGCTGCAATAGAGGTTAGGCTGTTGCAGGATCTCAAGCATACCATCTTTCAAGCACTCAGCGCCTTGATGCATGGTGGCTGTCGTTAGCACCCTCCTGCCCGAGATAAGAGGGGCATCATAGTACCCGTCAGTTAAGCAGATAACGCCGCAATAGGTAACGTAGGGATCGAGTACTAGTAAGCGGCTGGGTGTCTTGATATGGGCTACGATGAGGGGGAAAGCAATGTAAATTGGGCCCGAACAAGACGCCTGACACATTTGGCAAGTCGTTCGGTGGCCAGCGGGTCATGGCGAAGCCACCGTCGCAGGAGGCCATTTCGAACAGACGCTTGGCGCGAAGCTATCGACGCCGACCGTAGGGCTCGAGCATGTGGTTTTCGACGGTGCTTGTGGCCGCTTGTCAGCTGCCATCCGGTCTCTGTCCTTGTCTCTGCAACGAGGGGCCCGGGCTTATTCGCACGAGACTCTGCATGCAAGTCGTTGGCTCACGATGGAGCCAGCAGGACCACACTTTGTTGGGGGCCTTTGGACGATAATGCGTGAATGTGAGTCCTTGCTTGCGCTAGGCTGTCAGCTTCTCACCCTCCGCATTTTCGACTCTCACCCTGCGTCTCGGCGTCGGTCCACTGACCCGAGGAAGCCAGAATCAAATGAAGAAGATAGGGGAACCGTTGCAGTGATCCCAAACGCGACTTGGACACGTAAAGCTGGAGGGGAGTGCATTCGATTGGGAATGAAAAGGCATACACATGAAACCGTAACGTGGGGAACGATCTACTTCAGGGGACGGGAGTAGCGATTAGTGCGTGAGCATATTGCCAGCAGGGGGCATTTCCCTCCAGTGAAGTCGAACACGAGCTCGTTCTGAGCCACAACATGGCTACACCCTCTTGTCAATTGCGGGAAGGGAGCGATCAGTCATGCGAACCCGAAACTTTTGACTTTTTGGCGGGTGGTAGGATTGCGCCTGTAGGCTGTTGGCGGCATTGAGACAGAGTCCGTGTCCTGCGTGTTGCCGGAGATCATCTCCAGCGTAGGGCAGGGTAACCGGTTATGGGAAAGGCATGAGGCCCATATCTCGACGTTTGGCTGTGATTGATAGACGGCAAGGGTTGATTGGCCTGGACGTTTAACTGACTGTTGAGCTCGGGGCTAGGATTGCGGCGAGGGCTTTGTGCTTGATCGAGGATTGGATGAGATTCCCGCCTTGTGGAGGAACTCCGTGTACTCGAAAAGTCTGTTTGGGATTTCAGTGGGAGGCGAGTAGGTGAAGCCACACGATTAACGGCTCCTTCTTCCCTTCCAGGCAAGCCAAGGTGCGCCAGGAAATCCAATGTGTTGCTGATACCCCGAAAGCCCGACAAAGGAGCAACCCCCCCCCCCCCCAGCTAGAACGTGAGGTTCTCAGGTTCGTGGGGTTGGAAGACATTTCCTGGCTGGACTGGGCTGGAGGTAGCCCAAGTCTTTGAAGTGAACAGGGAGCCACTGCTGAGTATGCCAACAGGCCGCTAGAGTGTAAAACGATTGACTGTGGTTGGCTGACGGCCCTCGTGTTCCGGTAGCTGACGGTTAAGCTGGTGGCAGGACGCAAAACCATTAGGAAATGTCTCAGAGGCCGAAAAAGAGGGCGCTTTGTATGTGTGTCGTTTCATGAGCAACACCAGACGCTTGACCCGTTGCGGCCTTCTTTTGCTGTTGAGCTGTTGATGCGAAATGGGAAACAACATTGGTGATGATTTCGAAACCAAGGAATCGCCCAGGCGGGATTGGCTATGCTGTGCCGCAACCTGCGGGCGTGGTCTCACTTTGTTCAGACTGTTCAGGCTTTTTGCCAGCGCGGGCGTTGGCCTTTGGAGCAACTCTGTGGATGCCAAAGCTGGAGGCGTTCATCGTTGTCCATGTGGACTTTCTTGAAGATGGGCGACATCATGTAGGCCGTAATGCACACCAAAGCAGCACTGGTTGCAGAACAGTAGCTGGCTGTGGCTTTGTTTGATGATACTTTCCGCCCACGGGTAAACCATTGAGTGTACGGAGTACAGCAAGAGATTCAAGGTTCAAGAAGGGCGTACGTGTGTTGATCCCTTCTGGTGCAGTGATAAGATTGGCAAAGGCGAGCATGATTACAGGTGAGTAGCAGGGGCGTCTCCAAATCAGAGCAGCATAGCCAAGCCTGGCCAACAGCCCAACAGCGGTAAACCGTGACACAGCAGAGCGGTAGGGGAAAGGAGATGAGTCACGGAGGCGTAAGGTCAACTTGACTCCAGAGCCTAAAGTTCTAAGCAGAGGGCGAGAAGCAAGGCGGCGGCGGCGGCGGCGAATCGGCGCCAGGTCAAGAAAGATCGGTCACGACGCGGGCCGGTTCTCATCGGTCGGGAAGTGCGCGGCGCGGCATGCTAACACTCGATATACGTGGCCGATATCATGTCTCGTTCAGGTAAGGCGAGGCAAGGCCGGTCGATACGCTGTTTCAGAGAGGGAGCCGAAAATAAAGAATTGCGGAGATTACACATAGACGCCCAGTAGTTCGAGGTGAGCGAGTTGAAGGGTCGTCAGTCCTCCAGACGGAAGCGAGTTCGAGTTCTCCGGAGGGCCTTGTTTCTTGGCCATGTTCGTGAATCGATTGGTAGAGAGGGCTGGAGAAAGCTGCCCATCGCTTGTTTCATCGGCGTACTCGAGGTAGGACGCGGCCACCAATGAACCGCGCGCATCGATTGTGTCTTTTTCAGGTCTTTTGGGGTAGGTATAGGACAGTATGCGTAGACCCAGCTGATCATGTTAGTGACAGCGGAAAGCAAGCTGACGTGCGTTGGAGGTACCTTGGCTCGCGTGCCTGAGCCTGTTCTGCTGTGCTTTGCTGCAAGGTAGTAGGTATGCCACTACTCCCGTATGCGTATTCGTGGTTGATACTTTTTTGGTGGTGAGCTGGCGGCTGAGGATTCGTTCATTTGATCCAGTCACATTTCATCTCTGGCTCCCACCACCAGCGCCAGGCGTCAGGCAAGGGCTGCAACAAGAGGCAAGAGGCAAGGGAGGGCGACTCCAGATGAAAGCACGGATACGTATGTGTATCGTACTTGCTCCTTCCGCCTCGTAGCAGCCAATGAGGATGTCCAAGCAACGTGAGGTGCAGGCGCCAGCTCACTTGACTGACAGATGGAGAAGCAGCGAATGGCTGGGGGTGGGTCTGCTTCTGTGCCTCCCTTTCCTTCTTCTCCCGGGTACGAGGTGCACTTTCCTCGATAACAAGGTACCTGGAAGTGTACCTCTCAAGTGAACAGGAATAGGCAAGCACCAAGGTACCTAACCATCCGTACGGAGTGCTTTCCTCCAGATACCTTAATCTTACTGGCGGGCCGCCGCTGGCCTTCGTACGTGCGCATGTTTTGCTGCAGTCTGTCGCCTGGGGCTCTGGGTGGACAAGAAAAGCTGCTGCTGCTTGTTTTGGGAGACATGGGCCCTTGCTTGTGGGATCGTGTCTTGGTGTTTCTGCAACCACTGGCTGAAATGGGATCGCTTCTGGTGTGCAGCGGTACTGGGTTGCGAGGTGGGAGGGGCCTTGAAGTTTTGAACCGAGCTGTACCAGCCAGTCAACGGGCTTCGTGAGACACTCCCAAACGAAGGTCGGCCTATTACACAATGGTTCGCGGCTCGGTTGTTGTCGTTCTTGTTCGTCGCCGCCATCAAGGACCAGCGGATCCAATCCTGCATCATGCTCCCGTCCGTAACCCGGGCCAGCGTTGCGCGTGTACGGATACTTTGTACCTTGATTTGGGCCGTGGTCTTGGTCATGGTCTTGATGAGTGGTCTCAATCTTACTTTTGGGTCTTGGGTCTTGGGATTTGGGCTTGCAAAAGTAAATATATCGATCTCATCCCTCATCTCAGCGCCTCTAGCAGCACTATATTTCATCCCTGTGTCCTCCTCCCTCTTGAGTCTTGAATCTTGAGTCTTGATCTGCTCGGACGTGATTCTCCTTTTTCTTTATTTCCAAATCAACTTGCATCATCGCCGGCATTCGAGGGCTGTTGTATTGAATACGACAGTTTGTCATTAGTCCTCTCCGCATCCAATAGCATCACCGCCGGGCTTCACCACCATCCATCAACCAGCGAAAGCAGGGAGACGGAGCAGAGACAGCACCGACTCGGAGGTACTCCGGAAGCTACCGATCTACCAACGCAGAACGCGTCTCTTCTCCCCGATTCCATCTTCAACAACAGCCGGCCTGGTTAATACGAATCGGATCTCTTCAATACTTGTTTTTTCCTCTAGTTGCCGGGCTTCTTGTTTACCCTTCTGTTTACTTTCCTCGAATTTCTTGTTTACTCTCAAATATTGAACCCCTCCGTTGCTGGTCATCGCGTCTCCGAGAGGTACATCCCCAAGTTGCTCGTCACTCCTTCCCCCTCGAGCCCCTCCAACGACTTTCCCATTCCAGTGGTTCTGTCGCCCCACAGCTGCCAGTAGCGCCTTCCAACTGTGCACCACCACGGAGTACTTCGTACGCACTCTCACACACAGACCAAGCGTCGCTCCTGCCCGTTCGCGCGCTCTCGTCCCATCCCATCACTTCGCCGCCAGCGCCTTTCCGTCTGCCGACTTGCCAAGGCTTTCCTCCAGATAATACCAATTTTGATCCCTTTGGTCACGGCCGCCATCCGCCGTCTCTATCACCAAGAGATTTGGAACTGGAACTGGAAGCGAATACTCCTTATTGGATCTATTGAATCTTGCTTGGATCGTCATTTTCCGTCTCGTCCCTGTCGTCCCTGTCGTCGTCGTCGGATATTTCGCCCACACGAGTCTGAATTAAAAGGCAGACACCAGCCTGCATTCTTTCAGCCATCAACCCAACCACCAGCCATCAAGCAATCCATCAATCACCCACACTCTCTTCACCATCGACACTTTAACCCTCGTGTTCAATTCCGCCTTCGATTCTGCCCGAAAGCCTCGAACCCTTGGACAAGCACCTGCTGCATACTGCATCATAGCGTGTGTGGTTCTCAATCAATCTCATCCACCCAATCCAGTCGACCCCAACTGCCCAACTTGGACGTCCCCTGCTTGCGGCTTTCCATTCGCAGAAAGACAACCTGCACCGCCTCGCGCCCAGCTGCCACCGGACACACTCCCGATACTTTGCACGGTCGAGAACTTTGAGAACGGCATCAAGTATCCGCTACCTCCTTCTCCGCGCAATTTTGACCCGTCGGTCCACGTACCCCATACTCCCCACTGCATCGCCCTGAGAAGTGGAAAGCGGATTCAACTTCGGAAAAGTGCATTGCCAAAGCCTCGCTCACTATACAACTTTGACCTTACACACGGTTCACGTTGTGGCCAACCTTGGACGTTACCGAACCTTCTCTACAGGATACGTTATACGTTAGGGGACACTGCTTGACAACTGCCCTGTCGTCATTTCCATCTTCCCAGCACTCTGGTCCAGTAGAACAGCTCTCTGGACACATTGCTTGTTGCATCGAGAGACTCCATTTCTAGGACCATCCCGATTCCTAGACACCTTGACGTCGGTACCTTGTTGCCCTGTAACGTCAATATCGACTTAATTCATCTGTCAGCGACACTTTGCGCCGGACAAACCTTCGAGTCTGGTCTCTCGCTCCGAGTTGAAAGGAGTGTCAATCATTTTCCCGTCTTCGACCGCCGCTCTCACGTTTTCGGACTTCGGATCCCGGCCGAACAAAGCACACTGTTGCTGCTGACCAGCTGCTCTGCTCTGCTGCACATCCGACTGCATCGCAACCGCCCCGCGGCTCCGAGAACAATTAATCAACAATCGACATTCGTCTTGCACCGTCCGCTGGCTCGGAAGCTCTGATTCGACCGTCCTCGTCGTTGCGAATAATTTCGATCCTCAAACGGATCGCCGCCCTGCCGCTTCTACCGCCTTCAGGTAGAGCAAACTAATACCGATACCTCACGGATACTCCATCCCACTCCCTCATCCCGCTCGCTGCCGAGTAGCCTTGGATTCACGACGCACGACCCAGCCGTCAATCTTCACTTGCTTAATCAATCCGATCCAACTCAAATCGCCGACCGTTGGCTCAATCTGTCCTAGACAGTGGTCGACGCATCAAGCTCATTTCACGACGAGACGAGGAAATCACATCGCCGTCTTGACCCTTTCTCCTAAACGCAAACCCAAAAAAACCACAGGCCGCAATAATCCCTGACTCGCCCCCGGGTCGATTTACTTGACGCCGTCACCTCCTCACCCGCAACTCTTCCAAGCGCTTGGCAAACTTGACTCGGCTCTCAGCGTCCGTTTGCAGAACCTTGAAAAGTTGTCCTATTCCTCCATTCGTCATAGGCCACCGGGCATTTTCCAGAAGTTTGGGTTTTGGTCTGTTCACTGCCATTGTCGTCGCCTTGAACAATCGCAATAGTCATTAGACGCCATACTCCAACTTCTCTGTTTCCAGCATCTAGGAAACCCACTTGACCAGCGCCCTTTCGTCCTTCTTTGCCGACGTCGTTGGCGTCTACCATTCTACTACATTCACAAATCGCCACCTGCCGGATACTCGCCGACATCGCCGAAATCGTTTTTCTATTCCGCTATACCAGCACATTCACAATCATTGCAACGATACCCACAACACCGCAGCTAGACCAATCTCTCCGTTGATACCGACGAGATTTACTTGTTTCCGTGCCCTATCGACCGTGGCATCTTTGCACCGCCAAGGCCACTTGCGAGAACCTCGCAGCAACAATATCACACTCCTTCGTCTGGGCAGACTCAGACCGTACGCGAACTTACTCTCCAAGAGGGTAGCGCCACAGTCCCATCTCTGATTTGAAGGTTAAATACAGCAGCACGAAAAGCAAACCCACCGACTTGCAGCCGCTCGCACCGAGTCTGCAACCCGCGAGAGTCTAGAGATCCAGACCCCTGCCGGCCAGTCCGCTTACCCCCCCTGCGACCTCGCTTCTTTTGGACAACTTTCTTGTCCAGTTCTGCTGGTGGTTTATCGACACACCTCTTTTCCATTCGGAGCATCGTCCACGCCTCCCTAACCACCCCCTGCCACCCAAACCCAAGCACGCCCCTCCCCCCTGTTGGCCTTCACACCCCTGCACCCCTGGGATCTACAGCATTCCAGCCCACCCCAAGCATCCAAGCCCCCCCAGCAGGCACTTCCGTCGGCGTCCTGCTGAGACTCCCCTAAAAAACTAACCCCCTACTACGCTAGCTCTTGACTAGCGACCCCCTGACAACCTGCCCACTCAGCCTCGTGGACCGCACGTCACCCACTGACGACTGGCTGTTCCGCATCCCTCTCTACCAGGCTCATCCCCAGAGGCTGGCCCCAGCAATTGCGACGAGGCATATGAACTTCGCCGCACACCACGCTCGTACCCTCCTTTTCGTCTGAATATATCAGCCCAGCCTGCCCTTTACCATTCTCTCCAATCTCCTCTTATTTCGTCACTCTTCAACGAACTCTTCGCCAACCAACAACAAAAGGAACACTCCTTCTACACCAAGGAGCCCTTGACTGTTACTACGACTCCACTTGGAATCATCATCTCCATCTCCATCCTTCACTACCAACCACCTCACCCTCAACCACATTACACATACACAATGGAGTCACGGTCACATCTCAGCTTGGCCGAGCTCAACGCCGCCGCCCTCGACCACTTTGTCTACCAACCCGTCAGCAAGTCCATGATCTCGTACTTGGCCGGTGCCGCCTACAATGTCATCTCATGCGACAGTGCTCTGATGCCTCCCGCTTCCGCAGAGGCCCAACGTCAACAGCAGCTTCCCCCGACGCCACCCAGGACACCCGAGCCCCGCGCCGTTCGCACCGAAGACGCCGATTTGCCTACCCTCGAGGCCTTCATTACACAACTCGTTGTTTCCTCCAACGTCCAGGTCCCTACTCTGATGTCTACTCTGGTCTACCTCACCAGACTCAAGTCCCGCCTCCAGCCCATGGCCCGCGGTCTGCGATGCACAACACACCGCATCTTCCTTGCTGCCCTCATCCTGACCGCCAAGTACCTCAACGACAGCTCACCCAAGAACAAGCACTGGGCCACCTACAGCCACGTCAACAATGATTTCTCCAACTTTGGCTTCAGCAGAACGGAAGTCAATCTGATGGAGAAGCAGCTTCTCTTCCTCCTCGACTGGGAGCTCAGAATCTCTGAGGAGGATCTCTACCGCGAGCTTGACCCCTTCCTGGCTCCTATCCGGGCCGAGATCGAGGCCAAGCATGCCCGCCGCATCGCACGCCGCCGCAAGCAAGAGGAGGAGATGCGCCGCAGACACGAGGAGATGATGTACAACACCTACCCCAGCCCCCCGTCATCGCGTGCGAGCTCCCGCTCCCGCCTGGAATCGCCCGACCACGCCCGCACGTACAGCGGGTCTTCCATCACTCCTCCTGGTTTGTGCTACAGCAGCAGCTACGGCAGCTCCGTCAGCTCCTACGCTCCTTCAGTGGCATCGAGCCGGTCTCAATCGCGTGCCACCACGCCTCTCGACAACCCCGCCGACGAGCCGTACATGTATGTTCCCAACGGTAGCTTGTACGAGTCGCCAGTGGAGGTGCACATTGAGCAGCCTGCATCAACGCTTCCGAAGCGTAAGCCTCTTTTGCCCTACGAAATCAGTACCGAGGAGCTCCGCGACATGCAAGATGGCACAAAGGCCAAGAGAGCCCGCATGGGCCGCGGGATGTGGGGCCGCGTCTTCGGCGGCGCCGTGACTGTGCGGTAAACCTGCTGCGCAACACAATTTTCAC